TCGGGGTAGCTAGGTTTATCTGGCGTCTCCCAGAGCAGGTATGCAAGAGGCCCAGGCAGAGGCTGAGAGGCTTTTCATGATCTCCCTTCAGAATTCCCAAAACATCTCTACCAACACATTCTCCTAGGCTCATCACAAAGGGCAGTCCAGTTCAAGTGCCGGGCAATTTGATTTCAATTACCATAAGAGGAATAGTAAGATTTGCAACAGTCTTTAATAAACTACTTTGCCTTCTGGCTACAAGCTATTTACATTTCTTCCACATGCAAAATGTACTATGCCCCTTGTGTGCCCCTCTGAAGAGCCCCAGAAATCTTTTCCTACTATGGAACTGGCTGAAAGCTTATCCACATTAGGTACTGGTGGCCTGTCTTCTGCCACCCCACAAACAGCCAGCACAGAGCGAGAACGTGGTGGGCACTTCCCTTCCACCTGCTCCAGTTCATTGAATAGGACCCAGTCCTAACATGTTTCGTGCCTGTTCACTCTGCCCTCTGGGCTCTCACCATTCTCCATGTTCTTTTTCCTTAATTCCTGGGTTTGCAGTTGACCAATTTTCTCCACCTATTTTTTGCTTTACTGTAATTTGGAAATCCAGTGACCCCCTTTTCATTTTCTTCTAACTCTGGACTTTGGGTACAAAAAATTATTCTGTGTAAACATGTCTTTGAAAAAGACAAGCTTCCTGTGGACCAAAATCCATTAGACCAAAATAACCCTCCCCGACCACACACAAACACACACACTCACTCACTCCAAGACAGGAGTTTCCGTCTCTAGTCTCCCCTTCTCTCTGAGGCCACTGTGGGAATACAGCCTCAGAAGCCCTGTTGTTACCAGGTACACTCTTGTCACACCCTAAGGTCCTTAAAATGCTGAAAATATTTTTGACTTTTCACCTTTTTACAAAAACACTGGGTTCTATCTTTGCCATAAAGCCATTTCTTACCTTAAAATGTTTTGGTGGGAAAAATCGAGGATGAGAAACATTTTTATTTCAAACCCAGCAAGTCCTGGCTCATTTCCCCTAAGTTCTGTTTGACGATTGAATTTCCTTTTTTAGATCATCTCTATCCTCTTATATTTTCTCAAAGGCAGTGGGAGGAGACCAGGTAGCTCGTTCTACATTCTTTCCATTCATCTCCTTAGGCCGACCCCAACATGGTGAGATTCCCTTTTAATTTTTTACGTCACGGCAGGCAGCCATGCTGCCCACAGTCCTCCAGTTTATAAGCCACATGCCTTTTTCTTCAGTTTCCAGTGTGATTTTTCTCACTGTACTTCAACCCTCACCAAGAGTCTTAACACCCTTCCAACTTCCATGAACAGTCTCCTTGAGGCCCAACTTCTGCTCAGTCTTAGGTGCAGCGCTGCATGTCGTAGCTTCTTATTAACACAGCACCCCATTCCAGCTGCCAAACTCTGTTCCTGTTATCTAATCTGCTTTTAAAACCACCCCTGAAACATAGCAGTTTCAAACATTTTACTAGTACTTCTGTTTCTTTGGTTTAGGGAGTCTCAGCAGGCCGGCTTGTCTCACCCACTGGTGCAGTAAGGCAGCAGCTATGATGGGTCCTCTAAAAGCACAGCTGGGTTGGTGTACATGGCAGCTCACTGGTAGCTGGCGGTGGGTGTCTGGTGGGGGCTGTCAGTGAGCATAACTGCATGTAAGACACACACAGAGAGAAGGGCGAATTCCCAGATACCTGTGTGACCCAGGGCCAATGACTCAAGAAATGTGCCATTGTAGGGGTTGGTGTCCTTTCAGGATATGGCTGTGGACTTTACCTAGGAGGAGTGGCAGCATCTGGACAATGCTCAGAGGACCCTGTACAGAGACATGATGCTGGAGACCTATAGCATCCTCGTATCATCGAGTGAGTGAAACTTGCCAGTACCTCCAAGGAGCAATACTTTATTCCCTCTTGATAAATATAGGAACCTGTATAAGTTTACTACTATTTAGGTATAAGATTCTAGTCCATGAAGAATGTGAGTGTCACCCCTGTCCAATGAAAGGTTAAAATTGGCTCCTTCATTGCACAGCTGCTGAAGCCAAGCTGTTGTCATTCTTCAAAGGACCTGACTTAGCATTTTGACAAAGTCTTACATTATTTCCAATTAAAAGGGCATTGCATTACCAAACCTGAAGTGATCTTCAAGTTGGAGCAAGAAACAGAGCCACAGAGGGGAGAAGTCCCCAATCAGAGCCTTTCAGGTCAGTCAGCACGTGCTGGACAGGGACACCTGGAGCAGTAAAGCCCAGCAGATGCCAATTTGTTTTCACCAATTTCTACCCAGGTCCTAGACCTGAGAACAGTTAGTCTGCACGCACCAAACACACGCATTACATAGACCCCTAAGAATACCTCTCATACATAGAACCCAGCCTTTTGTTTTGCTGAATAGTCTCTTTGTTCAAAACTTAATTCCTGCCTCCCTATTCTTAGACATTTTCCTTTGCTTTTTATTTTCTTAATATTCTCAGTTGCCCTCCTTTCGTCTATTTGCAGGGATGAGTCTTTTTTCAGACATGTATTCATACATCAGTTTATTCTTTCAACACATCTTAATTCAGCAGGTTTTAAATATTGGCAATTTTGTAGTTATAACTGTGATCAAAATAATGGTCCTTTTTCACGGAGTTTCTGTTCTGATGAGAAAGAAGCAATGATATAACTGGGTAGTTTAAGAAGCATGAGAAATACTTAACAAGAGTGAGAAAGAGAGAGCAAGAGTAATAGGATGTGATAATTTAGGAAGAATCATCAGAGAAGGCAGTTTCAGAGTGATTATTAAGTGTTTACTTCAGCATAGATAGAGTTTAACTCTTTTCCAATTTTGACATATAATAGGTGAATATAACATATAGTTTCAAGAGTGGACATTACTATTAGAGATAGAAATTTGGAAATGAGTAGCTTAAGGCTGGTATTTAACATAATACTTATAAAGAAAGCCACTGAGGGAGTTGATAGGAAAATGAGATGCCTAGGAGTGAACCTTGTGTAATACACCATCGGAAGTCATGAAACTGAGGAGGACCCAGCATAGAGGCACACAAAGGAGTGGTCCTTGACTTGGGTGGAGAATCAGGAGATTCCGGGTGCCAAGGACAAGGGAATCAAGGCTTTCATGTTGAAGAGCTCAGATTTCTGTTTGGGAGTAGGGTTTGAAGTTAGCATTTTCCTGTTGTATTACTAGAAATCATTCTGATACAACAAAAAGAGTATGAAATGTATGGGAGACATATTTTCTGTGAAACTAAGAACTCAAATTTCAGCACGCAAAATAAAAGCCTTCAGAAGCAGTGAATTATCAAGCAGTAGTGTGTGGACTAGGAATGGAGAAAGAATGTCAGGGAAATTTATATCACAAGGAGCCAGAAGTACATTTTTTTAATATGGGCACGGCCTAGGCTGCAGAACCAAAACCTGTAGAGTAGTAAGGAAGGGGTGCCCAGGGTGGTAGACTGGAGCTTTCTGTACCTGTTATGGTTCTGAGAAGCAGAGGAAGGTAGTTACATTAGTTAGTTGCAGGGATGTGTCTTTATCTAGCATAGGGAATAAGTGATTTATATTTGAAAAACCCCCAAATGCCTACAGCCATTCCCAGGAAAGAGTGAAAACTAAAACGTAGATGGAAAATCCTGTCCCTAAGTCATAGGATACAAACAAATGACCTTCCCCTGTACCTGCAAGTAGCTGATCCAGGGAAATGTTGCCATCATCAAAGCAGAAGAATGAGATATGCTAGCATAAGACACCCACTGTTGTTTTCAGAATAAAATAAAAAGAAATGAGAAAACAAATGGCAGATGAAAAGCACTTAGGTGACAACTACTGCTAGGCAGGAGGTGAGTATAATTAGCAAATATTTCTTCATGAGTTAAAAAGAAAAGGAAAATGCAGTGTAACATTGGAAAATATATTCCTATGATTCATTACATTAAGTCAGTAGTAAGGAAAACCATATGCTTATAAAACCACTACCAAAACCAGTGGGATAGGAAATAACTTCTTTTTCCTTACATGAGAATCCCATAAGAAATGGTTAATGCGTGGTTCATGGATATGTTTGTTTGTGTTTTTTTTCTCATTTCAGATGTTCAGCTAGTTAATGACATAATTGAGAGAAGCCAAAAAAGTCACAGTGGATGCTTTGGCACATTGTCATCAGCAACAGCATTACATCAACTAAGGAGAGAGTTGAATTAGAAAAAACATTTAATTTGAACTCAAAGGATATTTTAAATTTGATTATAAATAATGGAAACTATTTAGGAAGGAGGCATTAGGAGTTTGATTTATCTAAAAACATGCTTCTCCCTAGTGAGCCTGATGAGATGCAGGCTGGAGAGAAACGATGCCTGTAATATAACTGAGAAATCTCACAGACATCATGAGTATCTTGATGAGCACCACAAGTTTCAAACTAGGCTGCAGTGTTTTGAATATGGTGGACACGGGAAGACCTTCAACACAGAGGGAGTAATCATAAGAGGGTTTATATTGGAGAGACCTTCTGTAAGGATGGTGAATTTGGGAAAGCCTGTGATAAGTCAGCTCTTGTTGTCCAACAGAAAATTCAGGTTGGGAGCAAAACTTGCTGTAAAATATCTAACCTCCCTAAACATCAGCAAACACAGGACAAAAATTCTATGAATGTGAGAAAATCCTAGTTAGAAAATCAGATCTTAGAGTACATCAGAGGACACATAGAGGCGGAAAAAATGTGCATGCAGCCAGTGTGAGAAGTCCTTCGGCCATAAGTCAGGCCTTGAAATCCATGAGAGAATTCACACAGGGGAAAAGCTCTATGGATATAATGAATGTGGGAAATCCCTTTGCCAGAAGTCACACCCTATGATCCATCACAGAATTCACACAAGAGAGAAACCCTGTGAATGTAACAAATGTGGTAAAACCTTCTGTGAGAAGTCAGCCATCAACGTACATCAGAGAACTCTCACAGGGGAAAACCCCTGTGAATGTAATTAGTGTGGGAAAACCGTTAGCAAGAAGTCAAACCTCAGGATATATCAGGGTACTTACACAGGTGAGAAACCATATGAATGTAAAGAATGTAGGAAAACTTTCTACCCAAAGTCAAAACTCACTACTACATATCAGAGGACTCACACAGCAGAAAAACCCTATGGATAGAAGGAATGTGGGAAACTGTTTCACTGCAATTCAGTCCTCACTGTACATCAGAGAACTCACACAGGAGAAAACCCCTATGCATGTAAAGAATGTGGGAACTTACTTCACTGGAAGTCAGTTCACACTGAACATTAGAGAACTCACACCCCTATGCATGTAAAGAATGTGGGAACTTATTTCACTGGAAGTCAGTCCTTACTGTACATCAGAGAACTCATGCAGGAGAAAACCCCTATGCGTGTAAAGAATGTGGGAACTTATTTCACTGGAAGTCAGTTCTTACTGTACATCAGAGAACTCATGCAGGAGAAAACCCCTATGCGTGTAAAGAACGTGGGAACTTATTTCACTGGAAGTCAGTTCTTACTGTATATCAGAGAACACATGGGGCAGAGGGGGGGCCCTATGAATGCATTGAGTGTGGAAAAACTTTTTCCATAAGTCAAACCTAATGATTCATCAAAAAACTCACACAGGTGAGAAACCCTATGAATGTAAAGAATGTAGAAAAACTTTCTCACAGAGGCCAGTCCCCACAGTACATCAGAAAATTCACTCTGGAGGGAAACCACACGAATGTAAAGAATGTAAGAAAACTTTCTCCTAGAAGTCAGCCCCCACTGTACATCAGAGAGCTCACACAGGGGGGAAAACCCTGTGAATGTAGGAAAACATTCTACAAAAAGTCAGAACTCACTATATGTCAGAGAACTCACACAGGATAAAAACCCTATGAATGTAATGAGTGTGGAAAGTCATTTTGCCTAAAGTGAGTCCTCACTAGAGATCAGCGAACTCACATGGGGAAAAGCACTTTGAATGCAATGCATGTGGGAAAACCTCCCACCTGAAGTCAGTCCTCACTATACATCAGAGAACTCACACAGTGGGGAACCCCTAGGAATGTAGTGGATGTGGGGAAGACCCTCTGCCAGAAGTCAGTCCTGACTCTGCATCAGAGACCTCACACAGGTGAGACACCATTTGAGTGTAAAAGGTGTAGGAAAACTCTACCAGAAGTCAATCCTCACAGTACATCACAGCACACTGGAAAAATACATTATCAGTGTGTTGAGTGTGGAAAATCCTTTTGCCACAAATCATACCTCCAAAAGCATCAGATAGCTCATAGAAGAGAGAAATTCTGTGTGGCAGAGACCAGTTATGTGTTTCCACAAAAACATCCTCTTTTCTCCAACACACAATTAGCCTGCATTTCTCAGCTTCCCATCATTATGGATGGCTTCATGTAACAGCTCTGCCCAGGAGAATATGGACACAAGTGGTGAACATTACTTCCAGGCCTGGCAACAAAAAAGGTCATCCCTGATTTCTCATGGCACCTCGGACTGAAGTGCGGATGACAACCCCCTAGGTGGCCTCGGGAGCCACGCACGAGAGAAGTCCACCATGATTTAGGACAGAAAGAATTCACTGAAGAGATCAGAAGTCTTCCCACCTCTATGCTATAACCCTCCATCTGTGCTTTATTTGAGTAAGAAATTCCTGCTTTGTTGAGCCATTGTATATGTGGTTTGTTTGCATTACCACACAAACAACCCACTGTAGCTGATTTGTGAGCTTTCTGAGAGAAGTACTAGTTTTTCTATATCAGAAAATTCACACCTATGTTGTCACCTTTGATCCCAAGTCAGTTTATGGAAAAATCAGTGAAATGTGGGGAGAGACAATTTGGAACATATTTGGAACATCTTGTCATGGGGACATCTCACTGAATGCTGAGAATAAAGCGAATCTTCATGAAGATTTTTAATTTGTCATAGCTTTCAAACAAAACTTCCAACATTATATGTCAGAGAATTTAAAATGAAGGAAAACTATCAATGTGTAATATAGATGTAAATTTTCTAATACAAATGTTAAAGCATTAAAAATGTTTAATATATTTGACTATATACCAGTAGTTAAATATGAGAGATGGCATATCCTGGCAGGGCATATTTGGCGATGAGTGGAGACATTTTCAGTTGTTACTAGAGGCTGGGAGGAGCTACTGGCACCCAGTGGGTAGAGCCCAGGCTGCTGTTAACAGCCTGCTGTGCACAGAGCAGCTGCCCTCAAGGAGGTAGCTGATGCATATGAGTGTTCTGTGTTAACAGAATTTTCCCTGATAGGACCAGGCATAATTGTGGGTAGGGAATATATACATTTAGTGTGATAAATATTGTGACTTCCATTAAATGTCACTCTAGCCACTTTATAGCTTGTTAAATATATTAACCCTAAAGTATTAAACTAGGTACATTTTTCCTACTCTCCTAGTGTATGTAAATTATTGTGACCAATGTTACCAAATTTTCTCTTAAGTAAAGACGATATTTTTCTGAAGCTTGCTGCTAACACAGTGCCAGCCAGTGAGTCTAACAGAAACATTAGTCACATAGAAATGCATACATCAGACACATAATTGTTAACAGCTCAGGCCTGAATTTTTAAACAGCTCTGAATTTTTAAACAGTACTCATTTTATTCTACTCAGTGAAAAGCAACCCCGAACAGACATTCCCCTTTGTTCCTAACCCTGGTATCTTTAATGAGACAGCCACATAAGTATGAGTGTGTGCACCCAGTGCCGTGTGGCTGAGGAACCTCAGCATTTGCATTTCTAGTGGTGGACGGCTGCACTGCGCCTTGCCAGTGATGGGGCCAGCAGGTAGCTCTGCGATCCACACAGTACCTGTGTGACTGTGGGCCTTAACCTCTCAGGGCTTCTTTCTTCATACTCACAAAACCGTTAACAATAGAAACTTCCTCAAAGCATCATTGTGAGGAACAAAGTAAGTAAAGTGCTTTGGATATGTGGACACTTGGTAAACAACATATTCTCTACAGCTGCGATGGTTTACAAAATTACTCTGTCATGAATTGGTGGGAGGCAATAAGCTATTGTCTGCCTACACCAGAACCATCTTCAGCTTTTTAACAGTCTGGATTTGGTTATGTTACTCACTTCTACACAGTTACTCAGGGATTTAACTTGGTTGAAGTTTTATGATTGGCTAAGACTAATTTTCCCTTTTGTGGTCCTTTTGGACTCAGCATATGATCAGAGGTTAATTTTATAGCAGTACTCACTTCAAAAAGTATTACATACTGCAGTTACAGTGCACAACTACTAACCAGAAAATTGCCTCAAGGATGCCTATGATTGTGTCCTGGGTAACTGCCAGCACTGGAAATCAAGTTATTTATTATTCTGTTGTTTGAAAGAAACATGTTTGTATATTGATGAGCTGTCATAGCAATAAAACATTCTTGGAATCATAGCATGGCATCAGGTCTTCCTGTCCCTTAAACCAGCAGTCCCCAACTTTTTGGTACCAAGGACCAGTTTCGTGGAAGACAATTTTCCACAGACCCAGGGTGGGGTAGGGGATGGTTTCAGGATGAAACTTTCACTCAGATCATCAAACATGAGTTAGATTCTCATAAGGCACATGCAACGTAGATCCCTTGCATGCACAGTTCACAATAGTGTTTGTGCTCCTACGAAAATCCAGTGCTGTGGCTGATCTGACAGGAGGCGGACTTCAGCTGATAATGCTCATTTGCCTGCTGTTCACCTCCTGCTGTGTGGCCTGGTTCTGAATAGGCACACATTTCAGTACCAGTCCACAGCCCAGGGTTGGAACCCCTGGCTTAAGCTGTTAAAACAGATGTTGTCGAAATTGAATTGCTTGGCTGGGTGCGGTGGTTCATGCCTGTAATCCCAGCACTTTGGGAGGCCAAGACAGGTGGATCACGAGGTCAGGAGATTGAGACCATCCTGGCTAACACAGTGAAACCCCATCTCTACTGAAAATACAAAAAAAAAAAAAAAGGTAGCCAGGCGTAGTGGCATGCACTTGTAGTCCCAGCTACTCTGGAGGCTGAAGCAGGAGAATCACTGGAACCTGGGAGGCGGAGGTTGCAGTGAGCCAAGATCGCACCACTGCACCCCAGCCTGGGTGACAGAGTGAGACTTTGTCTCAAAAAAAAAAAAAAAGAAAAGAAAAAAAAGAAATTGAATTGTTTGATTCCTCTCCCTCATGCTGATTGTTTGAACTTAGTGTGAGTTGAGCGTCTAACTTTAGTTTCTTCTAATGGCACTTCTTCATACTATGAGTCTTGACCAATTTACTCCTAACCCATTCTGTTAGTCTGCTCAGGGTGCAATAATGAAATACCACAGTCTGGATGACTTAAATAACAGACATTTATCTTCTTACAGTTTGGATGCTGAAAATGCAAGACCAAAGTGCCAATGGGCTTGTATCTGGTAAGGCCTCTGCTTCCTGGGTGGCAGACAGCCGCCTTCTCATTGCGTCCTCACATGGCCTATCCACTGTACTCCTGGAGAGAGTGAGAAAGCACTGGTATCTCTTCCTCTTATAAGGACAGCAGTCCTATCGAGTTAGGGCCCTGCCTCATAGCATCATTGAGCTTAAGTACCTCCTTCAAGGTCCTGTCCACAAATGCAGTGTCCTTGAAGGTTAGGGTCTCCTTAGGCAAGTTTTGAGGAGGCACAGATGTTGAGTCCATAACACTCCCAGATTTGAAATACCATCTTCATCATTAACCATGAAGCACTAGCTAATTATTTGGAGTGGCTGTTACCTTTGTCTCTCCAACACTCGTTGCCCACATTCTATTCATAGGCCAGATGTGTGACCACAGAGGTCACCCGACACCATTGTGTCAGCCATAATGCTGCATGCCCTGCCTGCATGGTGAGTCTTTTGTCCAGGGTGGAGAGTGACTCTCTCATGATCACTGTAATTGCCATCATCACAGACCTATTGTTTGTGGGCCTGGAGCTGCCCACACTATCAGGAGTGTGTGTTTATAGGGTGGAGAGAGGTTGTACACAGAGTTTTCTCATGGCCTAAACATCCGGGTAATCTGGACACCTCTGAGGCCCATACCACGTCCCTCTTCCAGTGACACACCAGCGTGTTTTCTTGGGTTTACATACACTCTACTGAGGCAGGTTGCTCCTATTTGTAATTGAGTCCTGACTTAACTGAATTTATTTGGCCTGTGTCTGACCTTTTATTGATTTCACTGAACTATTTGCAGATACTTGTGCATAAGTACAAGAATGCCTAAAATTATAATAGCATTACACTCCTTTTAATATATCACGGAGTAAATATTTTATTTTCACTCCTCACATTGAGTCTTAGTAGTATTTGAAATCTGTTCCAACTTCCTTTCCACATTTTAAAAGAAAAAAGGCTTTTCTGGCTTCCGGTTGGGTTTTTGTTCAGTTTAGATCTCATGACGGTACCCACACGTCACCAGGAGGCATGGCCACTGCCGGCTAGGAGACCAGGCTACGAACGCACTGATGGTGGTTCTGGCTACACCTGCTTCTGTCCAGCAGCTCATCCTGGTGATGGCCTGCAAGTTACCCCTGCCGCCTCCAGTGCTACCCACAGGGGACAGCCCCACTGGTCCTGGCCATGCCCCCAGTTGTCTCCCAAATACTAGTCATGACATGCAGACCTCAAATACCAGGATAAATACAGATTTAAAGGGAAAGTAACTGTTATGTGTTTTATGGGGAAACTAACCGAAATGAAGCCAAAATAACTTACTCCAGACACAGTTGACTTTAAGGCAAAAAACACTTTTAGAGATAGGGCAAAATCAATACTGATAAAGATCCAATCTGTCAGGGTTATGTAATGATTCTGAATGTCTGTGCTCCTCACAACCCAGCCTTAGCATATGGAAGGTGAGTCAAAAGAGTGAACAAACCCACAATCACAGGGGGAGACACAGTCTCCACTCTCTTTGGGGGGGGGGGGCCCGCCCTAACCCTCGCCGCAAGCCGCCGCCCAACCCAAGCCGAAAAAAGAACGGAAGCAACGGGCAAGCCCAACCCGGCCCCCCCAACCAAAACCCCGGCAAAAAAGCAACCCCAAAACCCCGCCAAGAAGCCGGCCGAACAACAACCTGGAAGGCCCGAACTTGAAAAAAAACCCCCAAAGAACCCCCGGTTTGAAAACCCCCTCAAAACGGGCCCCCCCCCCCGCCGGCAAGGCCAAAAGGAAAAAAAGGAAAAGCCAAAAAGCAACCCAACCTTCCCCTAAAACCTAAGGACCGAACCCCCGGGGCCAAAAACAAAACAAAATGCCACA